CATGGGCTTTGGCCACTCAAGTAAAGACTTCTCTTTTGAAGGGGTTAGGGAGTGGGCTGAGGTGGGGTTAGCATGGGAACCTACTCTAAATAGAACAGTGGTTAAGACTGTGGCCCGGGGAGCACAGCGCTGCTACCTGCTAGCTCTGTGACCTTGACAAGTTATCTCACCTCACTCCCCTGCATCTCCATCCACGAAACATGGATAAGTGCAGTGGTGATGAGAATGGACTGAGATAAGGCATGCACAGAGTTCAGTAAATGTTCTTTTGGTTGTTTTGAGTTCTGTCTCCCAGCCATACTCTTCTTCATATTAGCTAGAACCTGAGAAGCCTTCAAATACTGGCAGAAGGAATATGAACAAAATAATTCACAGAACAAGAAACTACAATATTCTGCCAATTTTTCTTCTTAAGAACTTGCCACTATTCCAAATGCCCTGAATCCAGTCCCCACCCCCCCAATTTCATACCCTCAGGTGGTCTAGTGAGCTGGACTCCTGGAAGAAGTAGCTGGGACTCTGCTGGATAAGATTTGGCTCTCAAATATGCTTTTTGCCCCATGTAACTGTGATTTCGGTATAAATATTCACTCAAATTTAACTGTTATTCAGTTGAAATTTTTTCTAAGTATTTGTTCTCTCATTTGCTTTCTTGTGGAACAGAAAATTTAAGAAACCAGATTCTTTATTCAAACACAATATGGCTGTACTCACCCAATCAATACTGGACTGAATGCTCACCTTCTTCCCGATCTTTAATAGAGTTTGTTTTCTATGTGTACCTCACATATACCAATGAAAAATAGTTCATAGTGGTTATTGCCCACATACAGAATTTGGTTCTTATTAGTGTAAAGAATTACGTTCTTATCAATGGGCAGAAGTAGAATTGAGAGGTTACACGATATGCTTATAAATTCTGATTTTTTTTTCATCGAGTTCTTGATTTTTTGTTTTGTTTTTCTTTTTAACTTTATTGTTGAGAGTATTGAGGAGACAGAGGCAGGTTAGGCAGTGAGAGATGGGACTCTGGGAAGGGAAGGCTGAGACATGGGGGAAGTTTGAGGTGACTTGGGGCTCAGCACTCAGGCAGGCAACCCAGTACACAGCATATCTGGAAGTTTATTTGGACTCTACAGATCTCAAAATGAAACTAAAGTCAACCTGGCAAATTTTGCCTTCAAGGTCAGGAACTCCCCCCCGCCCCCCCATTTATAGAAATACAAATTAGAAGCTCCTGGAAAGAGCACAGGTCAATTATATAACAAAAAACCCAGAAAGGCTGGTTTAGTTCTTTTTTTTGGGTTTGCAAAGGAATTTTATTTATTGTTAAAGAATATAGTGCTAGCGATTCTGACCTATTCCAATTAATATGCCTATTGATTTCTGGGAGCAAGGCAACAGGATGGCTGAATGACTGAATTTAGGGGAGAAACCAAAAGCAAGCATAGGCTTGCCCCAAGGGCATTTCCCCTCCTCCTCACTAATAGTCTGGGAGAAGTTGAAATTATCATAAAAAGGGAAGCCACTAAGACCCCTATATAGATGAGCTAGGGCTGAACCCAGTCAGGTAGAAAACACAAGCTTTAAAATGTATGGATATTGCTAAGGCAGAATTCTTTCAAAGGACCAATCAGAGGCTAGCAGAGTCTATATCTAGCCCTAGACAATGAAGCCCACTGTGCACCCTCCCTGCTGCAGGGAGTCTATCTATTTTTCAAATAAACTTTCCTTTCACTTACCATTGGTCTATAACTCATTCTTTGATTCTGAGAGACAGTAAATCCAAACACCACTGCTTGGTTTCAATATTACAAATGTGCCCTCTTTTTTTTCATCAATTGCCCCCTCCATCCAGTTTCTACCCCACCCCAGGCCTTCACCACCGTATTGTGTGTGTCCATGGGCAATGCATATATGCATTAAGTTCTTTGGTTAATCTCTTCCTACTCATCCCCACCCCTTCCCTCTGTGATATGTCAGTCTGTTCCATGTTTTGATGCCTCTGGTTCTATTTTATTCATCAGTTTATTTTGTTCATTAGATTTCACATATAAGTGAGATCATGTGATATTTCTCTTTCTCTGCCTGGCTTATGTCGATTAGCATTATAGTCTCCAGGTCTCCCCATGCTGTAGCAAAGGGTAGTAGATCCCTCTATTTTACAGCTGCATAGTATTCCATTGTATTAATGTACCACCGCTTTTTTATCCTCATCTACTGATGATGGGCACTTGGACTGTTTCCAGATTTTAGCCATTATAAATAGTGCTGCTATGAACATAGGGGTGCATATATTCTTTCTGGTTGGTGTTTCAGGATTCCTCGAATATATTCGTAGAAGTGGGATAACAGGACCAAATGGCAGTCTGCATTCCCACCAGCACTGTACCAGGGTTCCTTTTTCTCCACATTCTAGCCAGCACTTGTTGTTTATTGATTTATTGATGGCAGCCATTATGGCAGGTGTGAAGTGGTACCTCACTGTTGTTTTATTTTGCATCTCTCTGATGATTAGTGACCTTGAGCATTTTCATAATACTGGATATCAGGCTATACTACAAAGCCATTATCATCAAAACAGCCTGGTACTTGCATAAAACAGGCATATAAATCAATGGAACAGAACAGAGAACCCAGAAATCCACTGAAGCCATTATGCTCAATTAATATTTGACAAAGGAGGCAAGAGAAAAAATTGAGTAAAGACAGTGTCTTCAATAAATGGAAAATTTGGACAGGTACATGCAAAAAAATGAAACTAGACCACCAACTTACACGAATAAACTCAAAATGGATAAAGACTTAAATGTAAACCGTGAAACCATAAAAATCCTAGAAGAAAACATAGGCAGCAAAATCTCAGCCATCTCATGTCACAGAATTTTCACCAATACATCACCTAGGGCAAGAGAAACAAAAGAAAAAATAAATAAACAAATGGGACTACATCAAACTAAAAAGCTTCTGCATAGCAAAAGAAACCAGCATCAAAATGAAAAGGGAACCCACTGTATGGGAGAACATATCTGCCATCGGATAAGGGGTTAATTTTCAAAATATATAAAGTACTCATACAACTCCACAAAGACAATCCAATTAAAAAATGGGCAGAGGACCTGATTTTTGCTTAAGTTTTATCCACATAATGTTTCTTTTGAGACCAGTTGGCAAAGTAGGAGGTTCAGCATGTTAAAGGCATGGATAATTCTGAAATGCAGATAATTCGCAAGTTACTTTTCTTGAGTTTTAGCATGGAGCCAGCAATACCACTCCTTGGTGATCTCTTTTTCTCTCTCCTCATACCCCATTTCCCCCTCTTCTTTCCCCACATCTGTTGCCATTTCTTTTGGCTAAGCCAAGAAGAAAAACTTGATCGACGTGAAGGGCACCATCCAGGAAATTATGATATCCATGTTCTAGTTCCAGCTCTACCTACTCAGTGTAGTCATCCCTCTGGGTCTCAGCTTCCTCGTGTATAAAATAAGCAGGAGGTTGGTGTCAGGGCACCTGGAACCAAAGAAGCTCCAAAGCCTGTGGATTCCACCTTTGCCAGTTTAGGCCTCAGCAGCTACAATTTGGATAATTCCCAAAGCAGGTAATTGTCTGCAGGATAACAAAATGAACTCTACTCACAGCAGTCTGGCCACTCAAATAGATGCTGGTGCCTTTGGCTGCTTCCTGGAGCCACCAGCCAACACAGAGATGAAGCTGGCTGAAAAAGAGGATGGAAGTGTTGGAAAGGCCACTGTCATCTCCAAACACAGCAACTGGGAAGTGCCTATGTCCCCAGAAAGAGGTCACTGAAGCCCTTCAGCTGGTGGTGCAGTGCGAAGAGTCAGGCAAACCAGGTTTTGAATCCTGACTCTGCCCCTGATATGAGCTGTGTGACCTTGGGGAAGCTCTCTGGCTGAGTGTCATTTTTCTCCTCCATAGAATGGTGGTAGCAATATATCCATCTTGTAGAACTGTGGTAAGGGTTGAGGTACTGCAGAGGCCTAACTACCTACTGATTACAGGTACTCAGAGGTGCTTAGTAAATGGTAGTAGTAGTTATTAGCCTGTGCCCCTTATGCACAGGAATCTCTTGGGGACAGTGGCCGGGAAGGGGAGGGGCAATGGACCCCAGTGTCTGCCTCAGGGCTCTTCACCATGGCTGGGAGGCACTGATTGGCTCCATGCCCAGGCTCCTGGCACAGAGATATTTCTGATTCCGACGCTGATTAAATTCCCTGCTTTGAGGATGCTCAGCATCCTGACCCAGAGCAGAAGGGCGGACATTTAGCACAATCTGGTGGAGCCTAATGAAGTTATCTTTCAAAACTGCCCCTTTCAAGGGCTTGTCCCATTTCCTCACCTCTCTCTAGTCCCTTCTGTCCGGATCCCTGTCAGAGAAGGGAAACAAAAAAGTAGTGCCGGACTCCCCTTCCTCCCCCTTCGGTCGAGAAGGTGACAGGGTGCGGGCACAGGCGGTTTCCCTTGCAGAAGATCCAGCCAACACAAGCCCAGGCCACTCAAGGTGGCTGCAGCCCCATTCTAGAAGCCACAATCTCGGTGCCTGGCTGATCCCTGTTTATTTTTTCTTTTTCTTTTTTGCAAAGCTGGGCTCTCAATTCAAACCTGCCTCTTCTATCCTTTCTCTGACAGTTTGCAAGTGTTTTATTTTTTGCCGGGAAGCTCGATGAAGTGGCACTTAGTGTATTTTTTCCATCTCCCTGCGTCCACCAGGGAGAATAAAATTTCAAAAATTATAATAATAATAAAGCAGCCCGGGGATTGAACTGTTGTTATTTTTCAAAGGGGGCGAGGGGTCATATGACTGCGAGTAACTGATTTAACGAAGCGGCTTCAACTCCGAGTCTGCTGCAGAGCTGCCCCTCCCGCCGGGGGCGCTGACGTCACGGAAAACCCCGCGTGGGCCGGGCTATAAACCGCGGGGCCGCGGGGCTGCGGGCGCGGCACGGCCGGCTGCTCGGTGCGAACACCCGCGCTCTGCTCCCCGGGTCGTGGCTCGACCCTCGCACCCTCGCACCCTCGCCCCGACTCACCGATACGTGGATGCCCACCTGGGCGAGCCAGGTAAGAGGCTCCTCTGGAGCCGCCCTGCCGCCGCCGGGGACTGATTGGGGAGGGGGTGAGCGTCCCCGGACCCCAAAACTGTCTTAAGTAGAGAACGGAGCCCCTGGAACGTGGCCTTGGCGCTGTGGGTCGTGCGGTGGAGGCGGACTTTAAGGAGCAAAGGAAGCCAGTTGTTAGCAGCAGGTTCCTTAGTTCAGTTCAGTAGGAGGGTCACCTCCTCCTGCAGACGAGTGGTCCGAGGGTAGCCCTCTGTGATACTTAATGCTTTTGTTGTTTGAATGCAAGTGGGCCAACGGAGGCGCTGCTTAAAAAATTAAAAACCAGCCGGTCATCCTGGTTCCGGCTAGAGGTCCACGTGTCGGGGTGTGGAGTGTGGGACGCGTGTGGAAGGGGGAGTGTCCGTGCTCATCATACTTTCTTGAGTGGATCTTGATCAAAATGAGAGTGCTTCTACTTTGTCCCAGGTAGCCTGGCCGAACAGACTTCGGTGCCAGGAGAGGGAGTCTTGCAAAGGGAACGGTGTTGCATGCCATTTAGGAGAGTCTATGACCTTCTGGTTTGCTTCAAGAAGGTGGAAATCTGAGTTGAATTAAAGAACTCTGTGGTTTGATGAGAATTAAGGTTTTTCTCTGCAAATTTGAAAGGTCTGAAAGTGAGCAGGTCATTTACCTGCCAGAGCGGCAAGGTTTGGGGTTGGGATGTTTTAAATGTGATATCTGTGGGCAAGAGGGCAAAGCTGAGGCATAAACCTCAAAGAGAAATTCTTTATATTCTCCCCCAGCCCCCAAATAATAGCTTATTCAGGCAGCTGGAGAGCATCAGGGCAACTTTACTAAACATGGAAGTTCCAATAAGTGCTTGTCCAGTCCAGCCAGGGGGAGTGATGTCATTGCCACGTGTTTCTCACTGAGGCACCAAAGCCCGCTGGACGCTAGTGCAATTAAGAGCCATGTTTAGACAAGAGCAGCAAACCTGGCTCACTGGTTCCCAGAGCCATTAACTCCTGGATTTTCAAGCCATCCCTGGAGTCTGTGGTTACTTCTTGCTGTCTCTGTGCCTCCTCTGAGTGGGGGTCCCAAGGCTTCCTTGAGGATGGAGGAAGATCCAGGGCAGTGGGCGATGCTAATGGTACTTTTTTCTTTTTGCAAATGACAGTCGGTCCCAGGAGCTGGTTACTAATTGTGTGTGTGTATCTGTACATGTGTCCAGTTGAGAAAGCCTGTTGGATTATGTTAGGACTACTTGAGTCTCATCCCATTTAATAGAATATCACTGATAACTGACTGTGTGTTTGAGCCCCCTGAGCCCTTGCTCATGCTTAGTGTTGCTAACATTTTGGCCGCTTTGCTCTCCAGGACTCAGCGATGACTCTGAATAATGTCACCATGCGTCAGGGCACTGTGGGCGTGCAGCCGCAGCAGCAGCGCTGGAGCATCCCAGCGGATGGCAGGCATCTCATGGTCCAGAAAGAGCCCTACCAGTACAGCCAGTGCAACCATCACCCTGCTGCCCCCGAGGACCACTGCCGCCAGAGTTGGTCCTCTGACTCCACGGACTCAGTTATCTCCTCTGAGTCAGGGAACACCTACTACCGGGTGGTGCTCATAGGGGAGCAGGGGGTGGGCAAGTCCACTCTGGCCAACATCTTTGCAGGCGTGCATGACAGCATGGACAGCGACTGCGAGGTGCTGGGAGGTAGGTGGCCCAGCCCCAACAGGCTTCTGTCCATCAGCAGAGGTCCAGGAAGAAAGAGTAAGCTGGTGGGTCATTTATCTACAGAGTTGAGAACTGCAATTATGCATTCTTGGCACTGACTGGGGAGCTAGGTCCCCAGAAAAGCCCTGGCACAGGCTTGTGAGACAATACAGTGAGAACGCTTATAGATAAAACTCTGGGCCAGAAGGGGAATTTCTTAGATTCCAGCTCTAAAGGGACCGGGGGTGGCGGGGGCACTGATTCAAAGGGACAGAGCTAGAGAGTCAGGCTCCCACCTCTGGTTTTTGCCGACTCCGACCTGGACCTTTCAAGAGCTCAGTATAGATGCAGCTTTTTTCTATGGTTATTCCTGAAACCAAACTGACTTGGGAAACCAATTGATCAGTTTATTTCCACCAATATTAGAGTTTTTTGAGGGTGTAAAATAGTTTAAAATCTGTATTTGAAATGGTACAGTATACATTTTTTTTGAATTATAGCAATAATGATGCATATGTTTGTATAGTCTTACAGTTTTTTAGGACAGTTTTCTCTGTACGATCTCATTTAAAATATTTATTATTTAAGCCATACCTATTTCCAAAACTGATTTAAGGTGACAAAGTCTCCAAAGTACATATGGACCTCAGATACATGTAAAGCACAGTGCTATATTCTGGGACGTGGTAGGAAGATCCTAATTGTCAATGGTATTCACACAGTGTCTTTAGTCATGGTATCTGTTTTAGCATACATGACCAGGGTGGCTACATATCCCTGTTCGCAGCTGTAGAAGTGAAGACAGAACCTTCCGGTGCTTGTCCGAATGACATGGTCTGTCTGTACTTTTCAGCTGCGACTCACTGCTGAATCACAGAATCCAGAGAGTAGGAAGATGATTTAGTGATGACTCAGTTCTGCCCTGTACTTGTTGCATAGAAATCTTGCTTTGTCCTTAGAACTGTCTGCCCACTTCCATTAAATGTTTGTTTTTCTCGACTGTCCAGTGTCAGGGAATTCACTGCTTCATAAGGTAAGCTCCTGAACTGGGCTATACATGATGACTCATTAGAACATCACTTTCTCTTCTCATGCTGGACTCTCAGGGACTGTCGCTAAACAAGAGTCAAAGGAGAGAGAGGGTCAATATTATACAAGTGCTTTTCTCTCTTTTTTTTTGTGAAGGTTGGTGGATGGCTGTGTTTGTAGGAGACAGGGAGTAACTAACATTTAGAGAGCACATTTGCAATGGGAGAGGCACTTTATTTGGGTGCCTTATATTTGCTACTGTTTCTTTTGGTCTTTACAAAATTTTTGTACTCATACGAGTAAACTGAGTCTCAGGGATACCAAGTGGGTTAGCTGGGATTAGAACATGGGGTTTTATAATCTTAGTTTGCTCTTCTAATTCTACCATTGATAGGGAACCTATGTGCCAGGCATTGTGCTAAGTACTTCTCATAAATATATATATTTTTTTCCTTTATTGATTTTAGAGAGAGAGGAAATGAGAGGGAGAGAAAGATAGAAACATCAATGAGAGAGAATATCGACGCTCAACCACTGAGCCACACTGGCTGGACCCATAAATATTGTTGATAATGCTTATAAAAATTGAACCAACTTGCCCGACTGAAGTGGCTCAGTGGTTGAGCGTCTACCCATACACCAAGAGGTTGCCAGTTTGATTCCCAGTCAGGGCACATGCCTGGGTTGTGGGCCAAATTCCCAGTGAGGGGCATGCGGGAGGTGGCCAGTCGATGTTCTTGCTCATCGATGTTTCTCTCTCTCTCTTCCTTTCCCTTCCTCTCTCTCTAAAATGAATAAAGAAAAAAAATTTTTTAAAAAATTGAACCAATTTGATACCTTTCCCTGTTTTACAGGTGAAGAAATGGAAGCTTAGGATGTCAAGTGACCTTCCCAGGGTGAAAAGGCTAGGCCAGGACTCAAACCTAGTTGTTATTGAACCCAAATCCTGTGTTCCTTCACTGTACCCTGAAGCCCTTGGATTTAGCATCCAAATGCTAAGTATGACAGCATTTTGGGCTGAGTTTGGCCACAGGCCTGGCTCTGTCTGAGGCTCTGTGGTCCCCAGTGATGAATAAGGTACAGCATACCCTCTTAGGAAGCTGCTAAGTACCAGTGGCTATAATTCAGAGCAGGGTAAAATCCATGAAGACCTTAAAAAGTAACAAGTGCTTGGAGATTGACATAAGGAAGAGATTAACTTCAAGTTTTTGTTTTTTAAGGGAGAAATCGTAAAAGTTAGTGGATAGCAGACTTTCAAAAATGTTTGTCAATTAGAATGGAGTGGTATGTGGGTGTAATTTTCTCTTAGGCATAGAGGGTTAAGAAGACCAACTCATACCTGGAATTTGGGAAGGCAGGCTACTATCTTTGGAAACCTTTTTGTTTAATGGGGGAGAAGAGGGAAGACTTCTTTTTTTATTTTTTAAAATAGAGAATATTTGACATCAAGAAGCTTCTCAGGTGACCTATCTAGTGTGTCCTATTTGAGCAACTTAATTTATACTGTCTAGGATTATTTCCCTCTCTGTAGATGGCTGCTGGAATCACTAGTTGGCTTTATGTTTCCCAAGAGGAGGATTTTCCAAGGCATACCCCTATATTGTTTTTTGTGTTTTTTTTTTTTCCAGCATTAACCTTAAGAAAAAAATCTACACAATCACTATTTCTCCTAATAAAGATGGATGTTGTATGGTTATATTGCAATAATCTTATGGCTGTGTACACATTTAATGCCATTCATTTATTCATTCATTCATCCACTCATTCATTTCTAAACAGTTACTAAACATATACCATGCAACTTGGTGAAGCACCGTGGGGACATGCAGTATCATGGGGCTTCTTCCCTAATGATGCTTACGGTGTGTGCAGTAGAGATCAGGTACACACCAACTGTAACTCAAGATATAGGGTGTGACAAGTGTCTTGAAAGAGGTTCAAGGACAGTGCTGTGGGAATTCAGAGGAGAAAAGATTACTTCTGACTGTGGAAATCACAAAAAGGGTTCATGGAAGAGGTAGTCTCTGAACTGGACCATAAGGACAACTAGACTTAAGAAGTTTTCGGATAGGTGAGAAGGCAGTGCACATGCACACAGGAAATACCCAAGTGAGCACTGGACTTGCAGTCTGATGATGTGGGTTTGGACCCCATCTTCAACACTGAATTAGCTGGGTGCTCTTGGACAAGATATGCTCCTCAAACTTCCTCGTTAGTAAAAATAGGGGAAAAGCCTACTTTGTAAGTACCAAGAGGGTTGAAGGAGGTAACATTAAGCAGGTAGCATAGTGCCTGGCACATAGCAAGTGTGAAATGAGCATTAGTTAGAGCTGCTTCTGAATCTACCGTTTCCTTTCCTTGGGCGTATCTGCCAGAACTGGCATTTTCACTGCTTGTGCCCCTTCCACTCGGTCACTCTTAGCTGGGGCCCTGTGAGGCGCACAGAGGAGACATGACCCACTACAGGAGAGGACAGTATTCTTGGAGCAGGTGTTCCCTTCCAGGGTTCCTTGGGATTCCCTAGGCTATGACAGCTAAAAGCAGCTGAGAATTTTGGGAGAGAGGGATGCTGGAGCCTCAGAACTTTTGGGGGGCTGTAGGATCCAGTTCCGGAGTGTGGGGGAACTGCACGGTCCACACATAGCACTTGAGCCAGTCTCGGCAGGAGGGTCCTCCAAGCATAATAGGGGTCACATGAGGAAAGACAAAGTGAGGTGCACTGCCTGGGGAAAATGGCTACTGACTACAGTGGCCCAGTCATAGAAACTCCACCGCACCCCATCAGGATGCTCTGTCTTGAGGCGCAGTGAGTGGAGAGCTCTGGAGAAATGAGCACTTCCCCAGACCCAGGGTCCTGAAAAACCTTAGGAACAAAAGGCGCCAACCCTTTCCCCACACACCTTAACCCCCCCTCCAGGCAAATTTCAGAAGACTGCTAGAATTACTTACCCTTTCATTTCCCCTTCTCCTCACCGGATTAGCACTTGAAAAAGCTAAAAGGTGGGTGAGTAAGGGAAGGGGAGAAACTAGAGCTTTGTTTGCCCAGCAGGCTCTCTCCAGGCTGTCTGGCAGGCTGCTTTGTGTGTTTGCAGACTCCTTGGCGCAAGTAGCCAGAGGCAGTAAATAAGCCCAGGTGTGGGGCAGATGCACAAAGCCGGATGGAGATGTATCCTTTCAGGCTCCAGAGTTTCCAACACAGTGATTTTCAGGCAGAAGTAGATCCAGACAGACTACTTACTGTGAGGAACCTTCCAGAACAGCAGAGCAGTTTGGCTCTATTTTTACAACTGTTCCTCAGTCCATTTCTTCTAGACGTGTCCTGGTGTCTCTTAAACCAAGAGACAGTTTGTTTGCTTTCTTCCTTAGCTATTAGAATACAGTAGGTTTCTATTTCAACTGCTAGGAATTCAAGAGAGTCTCTTAAACCTGCTTTTGAGAGGTGGGCGGAGGGCAGAGAAAGTGCTTTTGTGAGTTTTCTGGGTGCAGGGAGAACTTTTAGAGAAGGCACCCCCTCCCCCATTTGTGCTGCTTAGGCCTGGATTTAGACAACCATTTGGTCCAATAAATTTGCTTGTTGAGGTCGTTGAGGCCCTACTCTCCAGTAAGCCACATGCTACACCTCGCTGTGATCCCATTTATGCTTCATAGTGTAGAAGGCAAACATGAGGGGCGCAACAGATGTTCAGTGCACCCCTGGGAATAGTCACTGTGGATTAGCAGGATGACCCCTGAAGGAACTGGGGAAACTGATAGAAAGACAGCCATTCTTGGTTAACTTTCTTCTCATTTGTCTACCTTTTTCTTTCCTGATTCCAGTTCCTAGATGAAGAAACATTGAACCAGGAGCATTGCTTTTTAGAAACCCCTCACTATAATTTAAAAAAAAAATGTCCTGGTTCCCCCAATGTAGTAGCCTTTTTTTTTTTTAAATTCTCGTCAGAGATATCCTCTTTTTATTGAATTTTTTTTAAAAAATTTATTTTTCTTTATTGATTTGAGAGAGAGAGAGAGGAAAGGAGAAAGAGCTAGAAACACTGATGAGAGAGAACTTCGATTGGTCGCCTCCTGCATGTTCCCTACTGGGGATCGGGCCCACAACCTGGGCATGTGCCCTGACCAGGAATCAAACTTGTGACCTCTTGGTACACAGTTTGACACTCAACCAGTGAGCCACACCAGCCGGGCTATTGATTTTTTTTTTTTGGAGAGAGAGGAAGGGAGAGGGAGAGAAACATCCACATGAAGGAGAAACATTGATTGTTTGCCTCCTGTACGTGCCCCGACTGGGGATTGAACTTGCAACCTAGGTATGTACTCTGACCAAGAATTGAACCTGCAACCTTTTGGTGTATGGGACAACACTCCAACCAACTCAGCCACCCAGCCAGGGCCCAATATAGTGCTTTTAAGTTTGGATTTACATATAGCAAGAAACACTGAGTATAGCAAGGGCCAGCTGCTTCCATCTGAAGAAGTGATGATAACAGCTAACATTCATCGCATTTCTACTTTGTATGCAGGCATACTATATGTAATGGTCATACAGCCCAGAGGTGTAGATACTTCATCAATCCCATTTCATAGCTGAAGTCCCAGAGAGTTTACGTCAGTGGTCCAGAGCCACATAGTTAATCGGAGATAACACTCAGATTCTAATTTACGTTTGCTCACAGCCACTGTGCTCTCTTGATGATCCATTCATTCATTTGATAGGTATTTACTGAGCACTTGCAGTATACCAGGCACTGTCTTGGGTAATGGGGGTTAGAACAGCACGGAGGTAAATCTATGCCTTAACATTCAGAGGAGAGAGAGGGATATAAAATAATCAAATAAGTAATTTAAATGGATTGCATGTTAGATGGAGATAAGCACAATGAAGAAAAATGAAACGGGAGGATGGAACATTAGTAGAGAAAAGGTGTTTAAATAGATGACCAGCGAACGCCTCCGAAGGAGGAAAGGGAACAAGTCTTTTGGAAATTCGAGGAAACAGATTCCAGGCAAGAGGAACAGCAAGACAAATGATTAAAATATAATTATAAAACTTATAAATTTTAAGTGGTAAATGTGAAAATAGAGTGGGATGGGCTTAATTATGGAGTTGATGGGAATCTTACTTGCAAAAATTCCAGTTAACTCAGTTAATCCCCCGCCCACTGACTTTTCTGGGCCGGAGCTGCGCTGGCCCATTTTACTGCGTTCACCCTTCATCCACACTCAGTCTGGGCTCAAGATAAGAGGAAAGTTTCCATTACCAAGTGGAGCTGGAGGCTGTACTTAAGAGAGAAAAACAAGCCTGTTTATGCCGAGGAAATGTATTTTTTTTAAAGAAGAAAACAAAACAGGGATGGTCTTAAGATTTTTTTCTGGCATGTCTTGAAAGAGGAGAAACATCTCTGAATTCAAAGTTCCTGAAATTGCCAGTGACCGTTCAGTAATCACCCACTGGGCGAGGGTACAGTGGACCGTAAGGCTTAGGAACGAGGCTTCCGCTTCCACTGGGCAGCTAGTGTTTTCTCATAGCATCGGAGCTTGAATCTGAGTCAAAAGCTCTAAAATGAGTTTATACTCATAAATGGTTTTCCTGTATAAAAGGTCCAGGAACGATGAAAACGAATGGCTTTCATGGCAAGTGGTGTAGTGGTACACATTCAGAGGACTTAGGCGTTCTGTCTGTAAGTGCTGGAGGCTTATACATAGAATATTGTTGAAGCTGATAAAAGATAGTAATTTGCCTTTATGAATATCTGGAAATTTACATAATTAATTACATAGTATATTTATTTTCTAGCATATTTTTTTTGCACAATCCTCTTATATGAAAATGTTCCTATTTGCCTGTCTCCAGTATCATTGTTCTTTCTTTTCTAGAAGACACGTATGAGCGAACACTGATTGTCGATGGGGAAAGTGCTACAATTATACTCTTGGACATGTGGGAAAATAAGGTATGTGGAGCCCGGAGCTCTGTAAATGCCTTCAGGGTTTGCCTTCCTACAGGCTGTTGGGTATGTGGGTGACCTGGCACTTTTTGGTGTTCCAGATGGAGGTAGGCTCATTTTCTTGATTAAAAGCTTTTATTTCTGAAGTATGACACTGTTCTAAGGAACAGATCATTCACAAATGAGCTCTGAGAAACAAGCAAGTTGCAGTCAGTTGCCCTTAGTTCTATTCAAAAATACAAAAAAGTGTATTTGTTTCAGGAAAAGTGCCAAGAAGTATGAACGGTCATTTTAAACTCTGTGAACCACATCATGTGAAGTTGACTGTCTCAATACTAGCCTTCAACATTTGCCTTTTAAAGATTTTGGGCTTCTGTGCATATAGGCTAGAATTTCTGTTTATTGAGAACCCTCCTATTCTTGCAAGAGGATTCTTAATTTTATCACTTGGGAAAGCCATAAGGGAGTTTATTGGAAGTCAGTAAAGGCACATTTTTAGTAGTTTAGATAGAGAATGGAAATAACGTTTGGCAGAGTCATTGTATAATTTATCAACTCAATTGGACAGTAAAAACGTTTTTGGCAAGTACGCTACAGGCTAGCAGTCTTTGCAGACACCAGACATCTTGCAGGCATGGAAGACTGATGCACTTTGTGGAGCTGGAATCAGTTTTCTTCCGTTCTCATAATAGCAAGAGTACTTTAGGATACACATATTGTTTCTGTGCAAACTGATGCCTCATTTACCAGCCCAGCCTGCGCTCACGGGAGACCTTCTCATTTCATTAGGGGGAGAATGAGTGGCTCCAAGACCACTGCATGCAGGTCGGGGATGCCTACCTGATCGTCTACTCCATCACAGACCGAGCCAGCTTCGAGAAGGCGTCTGAGCTGCGAATCCAGCTCCGCAGGGCCCGGCAGGCAGAGGATATTCCTATAATTTTGGTTGGCAACAAAAGTGACCTGGTACGGTGTCGGGAAGTGTCTATTTCAGGTAAGAGGAGTGGGGCTCATACCATAGAAACAATCTCTGGGTCGCCTGCATTTTCTTTCAAACAGGTATTCTTTCTTTCCTCTTTCATAAAGTTGGCACCAGGACTCATTCAAATGCTTCATGGAGTTTTATGTATACTCCAAGACTCCACATTCCCAGCCGATCATCCCTGTGCTGGGTGCTGCTCCCTTGTTCATCTGGTCTACCTGTGGGATTCCAATCTCCCCACACCCAAAGGTTTCCCTGGAATTTCATAGGGAAGATATCATACTCAAGGGTTTACTGGCAGTCCCAGACCTTTTCTCCTGGTCCTTTCTATTTTCCAGGGAGATCTCAAGAGTTTAGAGAAGTAGAAGTAGGATCTTCATGCAAGAAGGATGGGTACTCTGATTTAGGGGAACTGTGAGAAAGAGTTTCATTGAGGATTAGAACTCTACTCAGGCTACCTCTAGTTCCTGTAGAGCCTACAAACACCCTCTTACCCTTTGCTTCCTAAATTTCAGTTAAGACATCTTTCCTTGGGTGTGGTACAATGGTAAAAGATGAAATACTGCATTGCCGGGAGAAATGCAGGAGAAAAGAAACCTGTTCAAGGCTTAACAGACACAACTTGTGTGAGAATGTCTTACTCTTAGGAAATGAGTGTCCATAGTAATCTTTTTTTTTTTAAACCAAACTTTGGACACATGGTCATTAAACACAATGGAACATTTGCAATTGAGACTGTTGCAAAAAAGCTTGTTTGTATAGTTTGCTGTAACTGTATAGTATATTTGTGAATTCCTCAAGAATTAAAAAAAATCTCATCAGAATGTTAAAAAGCTTCTTAAAGAGAGAAAGCCAAGTTGCAGGATTCTTAGTTTCCATTCGGGAAACCGAGTCAGGAGAAAGAGTTAAGGAGATGAGCTTGGGAACGAAGCAGGGCTGGATTCGCATCTGCCACTTAGAGGCTGTGTGACTGCCTCACGTTTTCAAAAGACCGCTCTTCCCCGCAGTTTCTTTTTCTAGCCGAGAGGGATCATGTATTTTTCAAGATCGTGAGCATTAAAACGTGTTTATAAAGCAGTTCTCAGCACGTAGTAAATGCAGTAAATAAAAGCTATGGTTTTTACTGTTATAATTGCTGTGTTGGTGAAGTGGCACCTTCATACAGTGACTCTGGTGGACCAGCTCTAAAGCCCACCTCTCCTGCTTCCAGGAATCTTGCTGTGAGACTCTGCTTCTTTTTATGCCCTCTGGGGACATGCCACAGTGGCCTCCCATACGTAGAGCTAACTGTGAGGACCATTTAAAATCAGTAATCCTCCAGTGTGGCTGTGTGCCGTGTGGGACCATTCTCCCCAGACCCTCTGACGTTCTTCTTCCCTTCTCTCCTCCCAGAGGGCAGAGCGTGTGCTGTGGTATTCGACTGCAAGTTCATCGAGACCTCCGCGGCTGTCCAGCACAACGTGAAGGAGCTGTTTGAGGGCATTGTGCGACAGGTCCGCCTGCGGCGGGACAGCAAGGAGAAGAACGAGCGGCGGCTGGCCTACCAGAAGAGGAGGGAGAGCATCCCCAGGAAAGCCAGGCGCTTTTGGGGCAAGATTGTGGCTAAAAACAACAAGAATATGGCCTTTAAGCTTAAGTCCAAATCCTGCCATGACCTCTCTGTGCTCTAGGCACCCAGAGTCACCCAGATGTCCCCTTGATGGACATTGTTGAAGGCCATTGGGACAAATAATCTATATTAGATTGAACCCTTTAATATTGTTAGATGTGGCTTTCCCTTCTGCAGCTGGGAATTTATATGTTAGCCTTATGGTCAACAAAATGCATGGGAAATGAAAGATCTTTGTAAAGAGTCTATTTATTTATGGGAAAAGCCTGACCTTGCTACTGGAACATCCAAGACTCATTAGAGGATGTGTTTGGTGTTCACATGTATTTCTTCTTTCCTTTGGATAGTAGAGAATTGAAGCCTTAAAAGAAATGCCTAGAAAAAGAACTTCTCATTATTAAAAAATTCCCCAGTGTTCTGATATGTGAATTTGAGGCCAGTAGGTCATAAACAAATATATGAGAACAATTCAAAGGGTTTATTCAAAGGAGGGAAGAACCTTATATTCCTGGAGCTGGGACTGTGGAATTGAGCTCATCATGACTATTATTGCTCCATCAAGCTGTGAAAAGAAATTATGGGCCTTGCTGGAAACTAAAGCTTGCAAATAGTTTTTGTTCAGTGCCCACAGCTGGGGATCTAAAAATTTGTAGAATTGGGAACTGATACATGTACCACTATGGGTTTCAAAAATTATATCTTTACTTCTGTGTCTTGTAGTTTTTTATTCAGAAGAATTTATTTTAATCAAATTTAACTTAGTCAAACCACCTTTTATGTTTCGTTATTTTTATAGTCACAGGGCCATCATAAAAATATTTTTAAAATCTGAATTATTGATAACTTGGAGTGCAAAATGCCACATTTTTAAATATAATCAAAGGTTTGAATTTTTATAAAACACAAACATAGATATGTCTAGTACTTTGCGTTGACCCTTGTATGCCACAGCTCTGCTCTATTTATTGTTATTTTGCAAAATAATAACCATTTTAACATTTGATAAAGCATATTTATGAAAAAAGTCCATTTTATTATCATTTTTTATCTTTTTTAGAATATGCAAGTCTTTACCTATATATGTCTTATAATAAAATAAATAAAATCTTTGAAAAAAGGCACTCTCAAATGTTTTTCCTCCCCAAACAAGATGATTATGATTACATATTTTGATACAGCTTTTAAAATAAGTACATTCTAAAGAAATATAACTATTATTTTATTTCTTCTTTTCATTAGCAATAGCCCAGTCTTTATTGTTTCAAAGAATATCCCTGTCATCTCTCCTTTTGGAACCATGATTCACACTAATGCTACGCTACTTTTGGCAGGTACAGTTGGGAAAAATTGGGGGTCAACTAAACGATAAGTTACAGTAAAAGCCAGACTGATTTCTTACTATGGTCTGACAAATTCCTGGCTGAACAGATAGGCCTTGCTTTGCTCCCTGAAGGCTCATGGTCCTATGCTTGACTAAAGCATTAAAGGAAATTATAAAGGATTAAGAGAAAACAAACAGGGAACTGATGATTTTCAGCCTGAGGTCTAACCAGGCAAGGCCTTAACCAAATTCCTCTCTCTCACATTAGTATGGTTTGACATTAATTATGTGGCATCTATCCAGAGGTGGTGTGTAACCCTTTTGCTGGAATGGAAATTCCTGGTGTTCCCATTTCATACCTCTGGCTCTTACATGTTCCCTCTCTGACATTCATGTCCTTATCTTCCTGATTTGTAATCAGACACACTAATAGTGACAATCATGGGGCTTCCCACTGACTAAAGTGACACAGTTTTAAAAGATGTCTCTTCTCAGCTTTTTTGACCTTTCTCCTTTTCCCAAGTTGAGAGCAAGGATTCCCATCTCTGTGCACTTTACATCTTTGAATTGCATAAGGAAACAGTACAGGGAAGTGATGAGTTATACGGGCCTGGGATGAATCTTGGCTGAGCCAATTAACATGAGTGTGTCTTTGGAGTACATATTAAACCTTTCTATCCATCAATTTTCTCATCCACAAAATGGGGTTGCTAATAACACCTATCTTAAAAAAATTTTTTTTTACATTGATCTTAGGGGGAGGGAGGTGGAGAGAGAGAGAGAGAGAGAGAGAAACATCGATCAGTTGCCTCCTGCAGGCATCCCAACCAGAGTTTGAACCTGCAACCTGGGTATGTGCGCTGAACAGAATCGAACTCACTACCTTTTGGTGTATGGGATAATGTTCCAACTGACTGATCCACACTGGCCAGGGTGTAACCCCTGTCTTTTAATCTGCCATACTATAAAGAACTCGAGATGTCTGTTTTCATTGTCGCCTGTCTTCCATTGTACGTAAGTTATAGCCTGCCTCCCTCAACTGGAATGGAAATCCTTAAGATCAAGGACCACTACTTCTTTCCCTTTTTGTGTCTTTACTTTCTTCTCTCTTCAGTGTAGTGGCTTGCATCCATTGGGGTTTTTATAGTGTTTATCTTGAATAGATTCTCTCAATGGCCTCACAAGGTTGGCAGGCCGTTTGACAGCAAACATTTAAAGGAGGATAAGTAACTTGTCTATGTTCGTTCATATGTTACGTGTCTGGGTCAGGACTGAAGTTCAGATGTAACTCCAAGTCATTTGCATATTCTAGTATCCAAAACCATTTCCAAAGACATAGTCCTTTTAATTCCATGTCCTACCACACACAGATCACACATGCCATAACCACCTTCCACACAGCACACACATACAACATATATGTAACAAATATATGCACACACATCACGCACACCACACACACACCCTACACATACACATTCTTTTTTTTTTTTTATCCTCACCCGAGGATATTTTTCCATTTTTTGTTCAGATAGAGTGGGAGGGAGAGAGAGGAAGGGAGAGAGAGAGAGAAACATTGATGTGAAAGGGACACATCGAGTGGCTGCCACCCGCACGACCAACCAGGGCCGGGGACAAACTGCAACCGAAGTACATGCCCTTAGCGGGAACCGAACCCGGGTCTCTCAGGACCGCAGGCCGACGCTCTAACCGCTGAGCCAAACTGGCCAGGGCCACATACACATTCTTTATCTACACTATTTTCTGTTCTCACAGATTTGACCTTCCTCTTCACTTATTTCAGACCTTCCCAGTCAATGGCCAACAGCTCCCATGCCTCCCAACCTTAAGGATGACGAGTTCAAGATTGTCACACCGATGCTTTCTCAGCTTGAGCCAGGGCAGCACAATGCAGGTTGCATTACAGCCTGAGAGGCTTTTTGGTTAAGAGCTACAGTTCTGGAGTCAAACAGATGCCTTTCCATGTGGTTTCGTCACTACTAGATGTGTGACCAAGATTAACTTCCTTATCCTCTCAGCCTCAGTTTTTCCATCTGTGACATGGGAATAACAATAATGCCTACTTCACAAGGGTGTGGTGAGGATGATGTGAGACCTGCAAAAGTTATCACAGATGAATGCTGAGCACTTCTCTAAAGCAGCAGTCATGCCTTCCTTTACTCATGCATTCTTCAGATGTTATTGGGCATCCAGGCACCATCAGGTGTTGGAAATATAATAATAAAAAGTACTGTTCGGTCCTCAGAGCACTAGAGCACAGGAGAGTAGTAAATTGGTAAAAGCCGAAGATGATGGCATTGGATAGAGGAAAAAATAAAAAATACAAAACTGGGAGAATTATATCTGAAAGGGGCTGGATTTACTGCCATTAGATAAAATTCAAATGAAGAAAAAAGTATTAAAATGATTGAATTTGAGCCCTGGCAGGTTTGGCTCAGTGGTTAGAGCACCAGCCCTTGGACCATTGAGCCTCAAGTTTGATTCCAGTCAAGGGCACGTACCTCTGTTGCGGTTTGTCCATGGCCCTGGTTGGGATTGTGTGGAAGGCAACCAGTCAATGTACCCCTTCCATATCGATCTCTCTCTTTCTCCCTCTCTCTCTCTCCCACTTTGATAAATAGAAAAATATCCTCGGGTGAGGATTAAAATACATAAATAAATAAAATGATTTACTTTGATGTGGAAAAGTAAATTGGGCTATATTTTAAAATTCTATTTTGGAAAAGGGGGGGCATCGGGGAAAGTTTGGTTTTCAAGTATCCTATATTTTGCCTTACTCATGCATGCACTGCTCAATACAAGTAAAGACAGATGACTCTGAATTCATTTGGCTAAATTTGTGGAGCTACTGCTTGTGCAAGGTGCTGTAAAGAGTGCATGGTGGGAGAAGGCAATTTTGCCATTAAGAATCTTATGGGATGCCAAAATCCTTAACAAAATATTAGCAAATTGGATCCAGCAATTCATCAAAAAAATTATTCATCCTGACACAGTGGGATTCATCCCGGGCATGCAAAGATGGTACAGTATTCACAAATCAATAAATGTGATACACTACAAAAACAAAATAAAGATAAAAACCATATGATCATATCAATAGATGCTGAAAAAGCATTCAACAAAATTTAGCACCCATTTCTGATAAAAACACTCAGCAATGTGAAAACAGAGGGATTATATCTCAACATAATAAAGGCCATATATGAAAAACCTCCAGCCAACATCATACTCAATGGGAAAAAACTAAAAGCATTCCCCTTAAGAACAGGAACAAGACAGAGATGCCCACTTTTACCATTCTTATTTAACATAGTACTGGAAGTCTTAGCCACAGCAATTAGACATGAAGAAAAAATAAAGGGGATACAAATTGGAAAGGAGAAAGTGAAACTCATTATTTGCAGATGACATGATATTGTACATAGAAAACACTAAAGACTCCATAAAAAATCTACTAGAATAATAAATGAATTTGGCAAAGTAGCAGGATACAAAATTAACGTCAAGAAATCAACAGCATTCTTATACACCAATGATGAACTCACAGAAAGAGAAACTAGCCCTGGCCGGTTTGGCTCAGCGGTTAGAGTGTCGGCCTGCGGTCCTGAGAAAGAGAAACTAAAACACAATCTCATTTACCATTGCAGCAAAAAAAAAAAAAAATTAAGATACCTAGGAATAAACTTTACCAAAGAAGTAAAGGACCTTTTCATACAAAACTACAGGTCATTGAAAAAAGAAATAGAGGAAGATATAAAAAAGTGGAAGCACATACCTTGTTCATGGATTGGAAGAATTAACATCATTTAAATGTCCATACTACTCAAAGAAATCTATAGATTCAATGCAATCCCTATCAAAATACCAATGGCATATTCCACAGAACTAGAACAAACACTCCAAAAGTTAATATGGAACCAAAAAAAGACCCCAAATAGCCACAGAAATCTTGAAAAAGAAGAACAAATTTGGAGGGATCACATTATCAGATATCAGGTTATACTACAAAGCCACTGTAATCAAAACAGCACAAGAATAGGCAGATCAATGGAACAGAACAGAGAACCCAGAAATGGACTCAAGACAATATGCTCAATTAATATTTGACAAAGGTGGCAAGAGCATACAGTGGAGTCAAGACAGTCTCTTCAATAAATGGTGTTGGGAAAATTGGACAGCTACTTGTAAGAAAAATGAAGCTAGAACACCAGCTTACACCATACACGAGAATAATTTCAAAATGGATAAAAGACTTAAATGTAACTCGTGAATCCATAAAAATTCTAGAAGAAAATGCAGGCAACAAAATTTCAGACACCATATGCAGCAGAATTTTTACTGATACAACGCCAAAGGCAAAAGAAACAAAGAAAAAAATGAACGCATGAGACTACATCAAACTAAAAAGCTCCTGCACAGCAAAAGAAACAACCATCAAAATGGAAAGGGAACCCACTATATGGGAGACCATCAGATAAGCAGTTAATTTCCAAAATATATAGAGTGTTCATACAACTTAACAAAAGGAAGACAAAGGACCCAATTAAAAAATGGGCAAAAAATCTAAATAGACACCGCTCCAAACAGGGCATGCGAATGGCCAAGAGACATACAAAAAATGCTCAACATCACTAATCATCAGAGAGATGCAAATTAAAACAACAATGAGGTATCACTTTACACCTTTCAGAAAGCCGCTATCAACAAATCATCAAACAACAAGTGCTGCCGAGGGTGTGGAGAAAAGGGGACTCTAGTGCACTGCTGGTGGGAAT